AATATTGTCCTAAAGTTTTCTTTCTTGGTTGTGACTTTATCTGGTTTTGGGATTAGTATGATGCTGGCTTCATAAAAATACTTTGGGAGTCTTCCATCTTCTTGAATATTTTGGAATAGTCTGTGAAGGATAGGGGTTAGCTCTTTCTTAAACACTTTGTAGAATTCTCCTGTGAAGCCATCCAGTCCTGGGCTTTTGTATGTCAGTTTTTTTTTATTACTGCTTCAATTTTCTCTGCTATTATTGGTCGGTTCAGGCTTTCTCCTTATTCTTTATTCAGTTTTGGAACATTATATTTTTCTAGAAATTTGTTCATTTCACCTTGGTTCTTAAATTTCTTGGCATACAGTTCTTCATAGTAATTTCTTACAATCCCTTCTATTTCTGTGATATCAGTTGTATTCTCTCCTCTTTCATTTCTGACTACATTTATTTGGGTCCTCTCTCCTTTTTTCTTGATGAGTCTGCTTAAAGGCTTGTCAATTTTGTTTATCTTTTCAAAGAACCATCTCCTGGATTAATTGATCCTTAATATTGTGCTTTAAGTCTCTATGTCATTTAATTCTGCTCTGATCTTAGTTATTTCCTTCCTTCTACTTTCTCTGGGCTGTCTTAGTTGTTGTTCCTTGAGTTCTTGTAGGCATAGGCTTAGGTTGTCTGTTTGAAATGTTTCTATCTTTTTCAGGTAGGCCTGAATCACGATGAACTTCCCTCTCAAGACTGCGTTCGCTGTGTCCCATGAATTTTGAGTTGTTGTCAGTTCATTTTCATTTGTTTCCAGAAACTTTTTGATTTCTTCCCTAATTTCCTTCTTAACCCATTCATGGTTTAATATCATGCTATTCAATCTCCATGATTTTGAGGGTTTGGGGTTTTTTTCCTTGGGGGTGGTTTCCAGTTTCAGTCCCTTGTAGTCAGAGAAAATGCTTAAAATGATTTCAATTTTCTTGAATTTATTGAGGCTTGTTTTGTGTCTAATCATGTAGTCTATCTTTGAAGATTTTCCATGTGCATTTGAAATGAATGTGTATTTACCTTTTTGGGGATGAAAGGCTCTATATATATGAGTTAAGTCCATTTCATCTGGGGCATTGTTCAATGCCATAATATCTTTGTTGATATTTTCTTTGGGAGATCTGTTCATTTTTGACAGTAGGGTGTTAAAATCCCCTACTATAATTGTGTTGCTGTAAATATCTTTTTTTATATCCTCCTAGATTTTCTTTACATATTTGGGTGATCCTATGCTGGGTGCCTATATATTTACAATGTTTATGTCTTCTTGGTGTATTCTCCCCTTGAGTATTATGAAGTGACCTTCTGGGTCTCTCTTTATGGCCCTTTTTTTGAAGTCTATTTTGTCTGATAATGAGTATTGCTACTGGGGCTTTTTTCCCTGTCTGTTTGCTTGAAAATTTGATTCCAGCCCTTCACTTTCAGTCTGTGTAGGTCTTTTGCCCTGAGGTGGGTCTCTTGCAGGCAGCTTATATTGGCAGCATGCTTTCTTATCCCTTCAGCTATTCTACGTCTCTGGATTAAAGCATTTAATCCATTTATGTTTAAGGTTATTGTTGATAGGTTATAATTCATTGTCATTTTTGTACCTGAGTTCCTCTCTCTCTTTTTTCCCTCCTTTCCTTAAAGCAGGCTCTTTAGCATCTTTTGCAGAGCTGGTTTGGTGGAGGTGTATTCTTTTAGACTTCTTTTGTCTGGAAATTTCTTTATTTGGCCTTCTGTCTGGGTGAATCATTGAGAGCCTTGCTGGGTAAAATAGCTTTGGTTGAAAGCCTCAGGTTCTAATTACTTAGAATATTTCTTGCCATTCTCTTCTGGCTTGGAGTGTTTTCATTGAGAATTCAGTTGCTAACCTTATCAGGGCTCCCTTGTATGTTACTTCCTGTTTTTCTCTTGCTGCCTTTAAGATTCTCTCTTTGTCTTGGAATTTTGTCATTTTAATTATGATGTTTGTCGAAGTGGGCCTTTTTGGTTTCCTCTTGATAGGGACTCTCTGTGTTTCCTGGATGTGTGTGACTTTTTCTCTCATCCAATTAGGGCAGTTTTCCATCATTACTTTTTCAAATAGGTTTTCTATCTCTTGCTCTTCTTCTTTTCCTTTTGGTATCCCTATTATTCAGATATTATTACATTTCATATTGTCTTGCATTTCTCTTAATCTGTCTTCACTCTTTTGAGCCTCTTTTCCTTTTCTTGCTCTTTCTGGGTTTTTTTTTCCTACTTTGTCCTCCAACTCCCTGATCCGATCTTCTTCATAAATTCTGCCTTTGATTCCTTCCACTGTGTTCTTCAGTTCAGAAATTGTATTCTTCATTTCTTTGCGGTTCTTGTTTATAGTTTCTATTTCATTTTTCATGTTGATATAGTTTGCAGTGAGTTCATTGTAGTTCCCCTGTAGTTTCTGGTAGCTCATTTTGAGCTCTTTGAACTTCCTGATAACCAGTGCTGTGAATTCAATAACTGATAGTTGACTTGCCTCTATTTCATCTAGCATTCTTTCTGAGGCTTCCTCCTTTCCTTTCATTTGGGGATTGTTTCTTTGTCTTCCCATTGTTTGTGAGACTCTTCTTGTTAGCTTCAGCTTTTTTAATTGATTTGTTCTGGCTTCCTAGGTTTATGGTGTAAACTTCTACAGTAGCATACCTATAAGATTCAGTAGTGCAGTCTTTTTGATCTCCCAAGCTCGCTAGTCTTGGGCTGTTGTTTATGTTGGCTCTGTTTATGCCTTTGAATTTTGATTGCTGTTGGGGCTTTCTTTGGTGGGTCCTTCCCACCAGCTGGTTAAGTGAGGGTAACTCTGTCCACCACCTCTTGTATTTTGCTGTGCTGGTGAGGGTGGGTTGTGTTGAAAGTAGTTCTTCTGTGTGTACAGGGTTTTGAGGATTCTCTTTTGCTCTTGTTCAGTTGTTTACACTGGATAGTTTCTCCACTGTTTAGTTGTATTTCCAGATAGGTCCTGGTTTGAGGTTTGTGTGGTTTCCACTCCCTCCTTCACCTTCTTCTGTTGTTATCTGTTGGTGGTTCCTTTGTTGGTGGGTTTCCTCTTCCAGCAGGTAGTTCGGTGTTCACAGCTTCCACCTACTTTGACACCCTCAGCAGGTCTTGCAATGAGGCAAAGGGGAGGCCAAAATAGGTGTTACAAAGTCATGTACTCACTGAAGGGCACCTGAAGCTCAGGGTCTGCATGTGATATATGGAAATGTGGCAGCCATCTTGGTACATGATCATGAGGTCAAGCTAGCATGCTATAACTTGTAAAGTGGAAAAAGTCAAAAGAACCTGCTTCATCAACGTAATCATTGAGCTGCTGAATAACTGACCCTGGAGCTCCCATACTTTCAAATTTTGAAAAAGAAAATTACTTGAATCATTTTGTTTTGAGCTGTCTGCTACTTACAGCCAAAGCATTATAATTAATATGGTATGCTAGCAAATGCTAGAACTTTTAAACTTATTTATGTGTCATTCTAAATACTTCTGAAAATTACTGCCTTATATATCTGGCCTCCAATCTATAAAAAACCCTATGTATTTTTTCTAATCTAACCACATTTTAGGCCTCCCCATCTTCCTCTTATATTCCTCGTTTTTGTGTGTTTTTCATCTTTGTCTTTACTCTTTATTCTTTCCCACTTTCCCCTCCCTTCTTCCTTTCCTTACTCTGCCTTTAAGTGGCTGTGATTTAAATCTGAAATACGTTTATACATCTATTCATCTATACATATATAATATTGTTTCTTATATATTAGAAGGTAAGAATTCTTTCCCAGTCCAAATGTTAGTAGAGCTACCATATAGAAGTAGCTCTACTAACAAAAAACACCTGATGTCTCTTCACTCCCTTACTCATTCCTTCCCACAAAAGAGAGATGACTTAATTGGACTGGTTAGTTTGGAAAAATAACTGAGCATGTGCAGCCCAGCCCCTCCTAAGATATTTCTCTTGGGAGTGAACTACCAGTAGGGAATACACACTCCACTATGCTCATCTAGGCTGTACATTTTATGAAAGAAATGCTGTCATGGGGGAGGGATATATTGGTCCAATAATGCTAGTACTAGATGGAGAAGTCTAATTAATCCCCAAATTCAGTAATGGGATGTTCAAATGCCTACAGACAGAAGCCACACTCTCTGATAATAAGTTTTATCAATAATAAAGGTAATATCTTCTTATATACTACCTCTCTTGTCTTATTGTTGAATTGGTTTAGAACTTGTATCAGAAACAAGCCTTCTTTTTTTTTTCTTTCTTCTCAATGAATTTGGAATTATTTAAGAGTATGGGTAAACTTTTATTTCTTCTTTGTGCTTCTCTGTGAAGTGTTTAATACATCAGTAAGCATGTCAGATCTGGTTCTCAATACCATAAGAGGAAATGTAGTATAGTCCTGATAATTCTTTTTTTTATTTTTTAAATTTAATTACAGTTCAACTACAGTATTCTGTCTTTTAGTCCCATCCCAGCCCAACCCCCCATGCTCCCCACCTCCCTCCCATTTCCACCCCCCTTAGTTGTTGTCCATGTGTCCTTTATACTAGTTCCTGTAAATTTTATACTAGTTCCTTCCCCTTTTTCTCCTGAAATTCCCTCCCCTCTTCCCTCTGGTCACTGTCCTCCTGTTCTTTATTTCAGTGTCATTGTCTTTATTTTGTGTGCTTGAGAAACAAGCCTTCTTTTTACTAGACCCCCTTGAATAGAACTAATATATATTAAAGTTGTGTTCCTCTGTTCATAAATAAATTTTATTGTTTTTTTCATGGCTGTATGCTGTCATTGTAGGTTGCTTGAAGGTGAAAAAAAAACTTCCACAATAATGTCTTTGTTTTATAAATGTTTTCTGGAAACAAAAGGTGTGCTTAATTTCTCTGTGATTCCCTGCTATTGATTGGGTTTCCTATGGAATAGAGGCTCTTGATAGAAAAAAAATACTTTCCTGATTTTTTAGCTTCTTGCTTATGATAATTTGTAAATCTCTACTTACTCAATCTGACTCTAGTTTCTCAGAAATTTCACCTCTAGCTGCTTCCTTTGTATAACCTTGATAGAAGGTCTTTTCTTGAGACTCCACTGTAATGGGCAACACATCATCATAAGCTTCCCAGAGTTTCAGGTTGTTCTTCAGGACCTGGTAGGAGGTACACTTATAGGGCAAACTATAGAGCAAGGCATCATAGGGAACAAAAACATAGGTTCCATCCATCATTTTCAGATCATGAGCCCATTCCAAGAGATGTATCTGAGTCTCACCCCCAATCAGTGCTGAATGCATACATATGATGATTACTGAAACCAACAAAGCAAGAAGGATATGGCAGCGATATGTTAGTAAACATAGCACTCAAAACTACAAATTTGGTGAAGTAAATAAATGTGTTATAACCAATTTGTAAATGATTTCTGTTGTATGCCTCTAAAATGAGCACGATTTGGACTTCCAGCCAAGATGGAGGTATAGGTGGAAATACTGTATCTCTTCACACAACCAAATTCAGGACAACAAAGATTTAGAAAGAAAAACGCAACCAAAACAGACAGAAAATTGAACTGTACTGAATTCTGACAACAAACCATTCATCCAGACCAGTAAGAAGGGCAAATCAGTGGCCGGTGGAGAGGGGTCATGGCAGGAAAAAGTGGTGGCTGCCAGACCAACCCAGGCATGCAGGCAGCAGTTGGCAGATCCCAGGCATGGGGTGGCAACAGGCAGACCCAGCGAGGGTGCAAGATGGCTGGCTGACCGTGGTCACACATTCACATGCAGATAAAACAGGTGAAAAAATGCAGTGAGACAGACTGTGCAATGCAGGGCCCCAGTGATAAGAAATAAAGCCTAAAAGCACTGATTGAAAAAACTTTTGGGGGTTGAGGTGCTGAGAGAGGCTCACAGCCTCACAGGAGAATTTGTTGGAGAGACCCACAGGGTCCTAGAATGTACACAAGTCCACCCACCTGGGAACCATCACCAGGAGGGCCCAATTTGCTTGTGGGAAGAGGGGACCAAAATCTGAGAGAGAGCAGAACAAACCCTGTTGCTCCTTCCCTGACCCTGCCCCCACATACAGCATCACAACCCAGTGACTGGGTTGCTCCGCCCTGGTCTAAGGCTCTGCCCCTCATACATAACAGGCACAACAATACCAAAACATTGTGGCTCAAGCAGAAGAACAACTCAAAGCCCCAGAGCCAATACTTGTAAGCAACAAAGAGATAATCAACCTATCAGATGCACACTTCAAAACACTGGCGATCAGGATGCTCACAGAACTGGTTGATTTTAGTCACAAATTAGAGTGACATATGAAGGCTAAACTAAGTAAAATAAATCAAAATGCACAGGAAACCAGTAGTGATGGAAACAAAACAGGGACTCAAATCAATGGAGTGGACTAGAAGGAAGAAAGAAACAACCAAACAGAAAAGACTGAAGAAACAAGAATTCAAAAAAGTGAGGAGAAGCTTAGGAACCTCTAGGACATCTTTAAATGTTCCAACATATGAATTATAAGGGTACCAGAAGGGGAAGAGGAACAGCAACAAGTTGAAAACTTTCTTGAAGAAATAATAAAGGAGAACTTCCCTAACCTGGCAAAGGAAATAGACTTCCAGGAAATCCAGGAAGCTCAGAGAGTCCCAAAGAAGATGGACCCAAGGAGGAACACACAAAGGCACATCATAATTACATTAGCCAAGATTAAAATGAAGAAGAGAATTCTAGAAGCAGCAAGAGATAAGGGGACAGTCACCTACAAAGGAGTTTCCATCAGACTGTCAGCTGATTTCTCAAAAGAGACCATACAGGCAAGAAGAAGCTGGAAAGAAGTACTCCAAGTCATGAAATGCAAGGGCCTACATCCAAGATTGTTCTATCCAGCAAAGCTTTCATCTAGAATGGAAGGGCAGATAAAGTGCTTCTCAGATAAGATCAAATTCAAGGAGTTCATCATCACCAAGCCCTTATTATATGAAATGTTAAAGGGACTTATCTAAGAAAAAGAAGATAAAAAAGATGAACAGTGAAAGGACAGCAAACTTGCAGTTATTAACAACTACACCTAAAACAAAAGCAAACTAAGTGGACAGCTAGATCGGGAGTGGAACCATAGAAATGAAGATCACATGGAGGGATAGCCACAGGGGAGTGGGAGGAGGAGAAGGGGGGAGAAGGTATAGAGAATAAGTAGCATAGATGGTAGGTAGAAAATAGACAAGGGGAGGGCAAGAATAGTATGGGAAATGTAGAAGCTAAAAAACTTGTGACACGTGGTCATGAACTAAGGGGGGGATTGCCCGGGGGAAGGGGCGTGCAGGGTGGAGGAGAATGAAGGGGGAAATGGGACAACTGTAATGGCATAATCAATAAAATATATTTTTTAAAAGAAATAAAATAAGCAAGATTTGAAGCCCCAATATGAGACTGAGGTATATTCAGAGACTCTGGATTAGGCCTAGGGACAAGAAAGATATGTCCACAGCTACAGAACATAATACTAGACAGAAACAATAACAAACATAGCAAACAGGGGCTAATGAAGAGGCTTTGTGGTTGGAAGACTAGGTTCATATCTTAACATCACCAGTTATTAACTGCATATACTTAGGTCATTTATTTGACCTCTATCTGTCTCATTCATAAAATGGAGATAATAAATATGTGTTTCATGGGGTAATAGTGATTATTGAAGGAGAGATTCATCTCAAGGGCTTAGCACATACCACTCAATAAATAGTAGCTATTATTATACCTAAGAATAAGAAAGCTATGGATTGAGCACAGGCCTGCGAACCAGACAATCGCGGTTCGATTCCCAGTCAGGGCACATGCCAGGGTTGCAGGCAGGTTCCCTGCAGGCCAGTTCCCAGCAGGGGACGCATGAAAGGCAACCATACATTGATGTTTCTCTCCCTCTCTCCTTCCCTTCCCCTCTAAAGATAAATAAATAAAATCATTTAAAAAAAAAGAAAAAAAAAGAATAAGAAAGCTAGAAAGAGAAGATAGGAGATATTCCAATAGCCACTTTTTATTGCCAAACTCCTAAATACATTGCAATAGATTTTGACCTACTGTTCCCACCCTCACCAAGGTCATGATAAATAATTAATGGCACTAACTTACTCTTACCTATAAATGCTATTAATATTAGAGGTAAGTTCAACTTTTAAAAATCTAACTTCCCTATAATCAGAATTACTTTGCACTCAATTTAATTCTTCCCAGATTTATAAAACTATGTTGTTTAGCAAGGCTATGCTAGAGTATAGTGGATTAGAGGAAACCATTATTGAAGAATGGGAACTATTTCATGAAATTGAAAGTCTTATATCCAGTTTCACCCTTCATAATAAGTTAGTCTAGTGTAAGCTCACTTGTGCTTCAGTGCCCACATTTTAAAATGCAACAATATGGATGGAACTGGAAAGCATTATGCTGAGTGAAATAGGCCAGGTGTTGAAAGACAAATACCATATGATCTCACCTTTAACAGGAAGCTAAACAACAGAACAAACAAGCAAGAAGAATAAAAACAAAGACACTGAAATAGAGAACAAGGGGACAGTGACCAGAGGGGAGAGGGAATGGAAATTAAGGGGAAAAAGGGAGAGGGATTTGGAGGAACAAGTATGCAGGACACAAGGACAAGAACTAAGGGGGTGGAAATGGAAGGGAGGTGGGGAGCATGGGGCAGGGGGGCTGGGATGGGAGAAATAGACAGAAAACTGTACTTGAAAAATAAGTAAATAAAAATTTAAAATTAATTAATTAATTAATTAAAATAAATAAAATGCAGACTCTAATGCATTTCACAGGTACATTGTGTAGTTTAATTAGATAATGTCTGGTAAGTATTCTAAGGTCCTTGAAAAATGGAAAAGGTCCTATTGCCATTGACAAATATTAATTATGTGTGCTTAAATGGGAACCTTTCATCTCAGGATGTGACTACACTTAAATAAGTTGAATGACTGGTCTTTGGCATTTATATATTGCTTCATCAATTTTCAAAAACATTCTTTGCACTTGTTAAATACCTCCAGAATTTGTGTACTTTGAGCTAAAGCTGGTACCCTTCACTTTTTAAAGAATGAGTTATGAAATTGATTTAAACACACCACATATACACACACTCACCCTATATCTTGAGTGTCCAAATGACCATTAGCTCCTTCAATATAATTACCCTACAAGGTTCTAAATGTATTGTGATGCTTAAACCTTTCTTCAAATACTCCAGGGATAACTTTGGAGCTAGTTTATGAGCCATACAGGGATTCAGTCTCCCTTATACATAATCACATATTGTATAATGAGAAACTGGAGTGCCAAAGAAGTTTGACAAGGCAAGGGTTGGATATAGAAAAAGAAACTAGAACCAAAGTTCTCTAATTCCCTACATTTATCTACACTACTAAACACAAATCAGTTTGGTCAAATCAGTCTAGTAACAGGGAAAAATTAAAGTCAAGTGTTTCAGTTAGTTGGCCAGTTTGTCTAACAGTATCCTTGAAAAATATGTCAGTATTGGTATCTTTCTTCTACAAATGCAGAGATTAGATGACTCAACCAATGTTACCCAATAGAGATAGAATTCCGTTTAATTTACTTCAAGAAATATTAAAATCACTTCATTATATGGTATATGTTAAATAGAACTAGGTGCTTTGTGTTGGTTGAAATACTTCAAATACTTTCACCATGTATTACTTGTAGTGGGTGCTGTGGATGTGACACACAGATGTACACTTCAGAACTCAAGCACTCATTCTCCCAACTTCTGGGAATGTTAGGAGATGATAGCTGATGCCTCTCTTGGAATTTCCCTTAGCTGAGGAAAGCCACATTTCCTGAGGTCACATCCCATCATTAGTGTACTGAAGTCAGCTGATGCTGGTTCATAAGAGCTTATGGTTAAATCTTCAGGGATTTTGTGCACTAATTAATGTCATATTGTAACATAAAATTGGGCATGGTGCCAGTGATTACACCATTAAAATGAGCAAATGCTACAAATCAAGGCTTCCTCCCCCCAACTGAAGAGCTGATTGTTAAAAATTATCACATTGCACCCCTTTCTCTGCCTCTGCCTCTGCCCAATGACTAGTCAACATGGAGATAGATATAAAGGCCAACAATCCTTACCTAAATCCTAGACAACTCTAAGGCCCATTCCAGCGTTAGAGCTCCTGTTAAGACTGGCTAAAACCTCTGTTGCAACTACATGGCCATTCCATTTTTCTTTTGCCCAATTTTACTGCCTTCTCTCCCTCACAGGTGATGTCCTTAAAAG